ACATCCAAACGGCTAAAACCACAGTAATATAGATTCCCCAAACGTTCAGCTTTCATATGCATTTTTTGGATTCATTCTATCTATTCTAGTTATCGAGAAAATCAATGAAATGTTAAACTTTGACAATTAATTACAGTAATTTCAATTCACACTCAACATTGGAACGCTCAACATCTTCAAAAAAAGTTATTATTTCTTACATCTTGTAACTGTTTACGATAAAATGTATGAAAGTAATATTTGTTTGTTATTTTCCAATAAAATAGAATTTCAAAATCAATCTTCAACTATAAACTAAACGTTCTATAAACTTCAGTCTCTAATTGCTATTGTTTTCTTTGTAAATTATGGACGCTGGATCGTTGTTACGGACCCTATGCGGTTGTTATAGACGCTTTGTGGTTGTTATGGACGACGTCAGGTTGCTATGGACGCTGTTAAGTTGTAAGTGATGGTAAATGCACTTGTCCTAAAACTGTGTAATAGTAAACTCAAATTTATTGTGTAAAATGAAGTAATTTTAAATATTCTTCTGTTATTGCTCTTACTGTTACATAAAAACAATAAAAATATTATCTTTCATTTTATTGTGAATAACTTCTAGAGAAAAACTTAAGCTTACTAAAAGTTCTCAAGTTCTCTTAAAGTTCTTGTTTCAATCTGTAGCATTTCATTAATTTTTACGTAATCTTATTATAATTAATTCATTACTATTTAGCATACTGTATTTTCTTTCTCCACTATATTATAACAAAGTATTATAAAATTTAAAAAAAAAAAAATTCACCCCTAACTGAAACTAACTACAATACAAAAAAAAAATGCACCCCTAGTAGTTTCAGCCATAACGATTGTAATCTTGTTTACATCCCCATGACAACCAAAACAGTAACAACCTCTGTCGTATTAATGCATGCACATTGCCAACCCCGAAATAAACAACCGCCGATCGGTGCAGTGTCTGCTCGATATACATAATTAATTATAAGCGCATTTGCCTTACGTAATGTAAATATGAAAACGGCAAACAATAGTGTGTATGTGTGTGTATATATTCGTCCAACACAATTTCCCAAACCTACACTTCATAATTATTAATTTGATAAACAATATTTAATCAATTAACTAAATCTCTGAACAATGAAACCGATATTACATATAAATATTAACATTATCAATTTACAATGAAAACGTTTTTTAATCGAGTTTATGCTTATTGAAATGATGATCTTGAATGGTGAATTTAACAGCTTGTTAAATAATTAATATAATCATTAATCGGGATGATGGATTTAGTTCGATGCTGATGTTACAACGGATCGAAATCCGCTAAAGACATGAATTATGCATGTCGGAGGCTCTTGTCCATATTCCGAACTGCGTGTATGTCTGTAATCAATACGAACATCGAACAAATCTAACTTCAAAATTCGTGTTAATTAATAGAACATCGGAACTATTCTGTAGGTATTAGAACTACGAACTCCATACCAAACAAGTTTACAAGTCTAATACTACTAAATATTGAATGTCTATTAAATATGCTTACTAAATCTATAAAACTATAAGGAATTTGATGTACTTGCATTTTTGTGCCTCCTTTCATTTTTATGTAATACTCTTTCAAATTTGAAACGTAAATTTTGTAAACCTTCAAAAAGCATTGTCTTTAGATTTTATTCAATTTCTCGAAAACTACTCTAGATAGATTTAATATTAAATATGCTTTATAAAGCTAAAACTATAAGGAATTAGAAATACTTACTTGCATGTTTGTGCTTCCTTTCATTTTTAAGTAATACGCTTTCAAATATGAAACATAAATTTTGTAAACCTTCAAAAAGCAATGTCTTTAGATTTTATTTAATTTCTCGAAAACTACTCTAGATAGATTTAATATTAAATATGACTTTTAAAGCAAAAACTATAAGGAATTAGATGTACTTACTTGCATTTTTGTACATCCTTTCATTTTTAAGTAATACGCTTTCAAATTTGAAACAAAAATTGTGTAAACCTTCAAAAAGCAATGTCTTTAGATTTTATTTAATTTCTCGGAAACTACTCTAGATAGATTTAATATTAAATATGACTTTTAAAGCAAAAATATAAGGAATTAGATGTACTTACTTGCATTTTTGTGTCTCCTTCATTTTCAATTAATACGCTTTCAAATTTGAAAATTAAATTGTGTAAACCTTCAAAAAGCAATGTCTTTTGATTTTATTCAATTTCTCTAAAACTACTCTAAATATGCCTTTTAAAGCTAAAATAGAATCATTTTTACGTAATACACTTTTAAAATTAGTCATTTCATGAATTACTCCTTCAGTAATCAAGATTTCCATTTGTAAGGGAATAAACTCGTCCTTTGAACTAAATTATTTAACTTAAAAAAAAAAACAAAACCCAACTCATCAATGATGAATCGATGCGATGCAATCACTTTGCGAAACCCCGAAATTAGTTGTTAATTAAGGATCGCGGTTTTGCTAAAGTCTGCTTACCAAAAGGGCCAAAAGGCAACCGCCGCTCGATTGAGACCGTACCGCCACTCAACATTAATGAGTAAATACAACAAACGACGTCCAGAAGCAAAAAAATATCGTTAGTTTACATTAGGAATTGAAGAAATACAATTTTTCATTGAACTAATTAAAAAATCGTTAAATTTGTCTCAATGGAAAAACGGTAGCTGTTTACAATAAAATCTGCATAAAAGTAATAATTGTTTCAATAATTTTCCAATAAAATTGAATTTCAAAAACAATCTTCAACTATAAACTAAACGTAAATAAACTTCAGTCTCTAATTGCTATTGTTTTCTTTGGAAATTATGGATCGTTGTTACGAACCCTCTGCGGTTGTTATAGACGCTTTGTGGTTGTTATGGACGACGTCACGTTGCTATGGACACTGCTAAGTTGTAAATGACATTTATCATTAGGAATTGATGAATTACAATTGTTCATTGAACTAATTAATAAATCGTTAAATTAGGGATTTGAGAAAAAGGAAATATAAAGAAACTATGTTTTTTTAATTTAAAATTTTTCGTTTTTATTTGTGTAAATTACAAGATTTCGCTACTGTTAAAACAATGCGTGCGCAAGGCCTATTATATATATATAAGAGATAGAGAAAGAGAAGAAGTAGAAGAAGAGAGAGAGAGAAAAAAAACAGACATTAGTGGTTATCCTTAAACTCAAATATATCATTAAATATATAAAAAATATATAACTTTTTCATTTTTCCACTCTTGTTTTAGTTTGTTTTCGTGTGTGACGGAGGAGAATTGGAAACGAGAACGCGAGAGAGGATGGGATTTTTAAACTTGCATTTGAAATCCAGTTGGCTTTGTATATTTGTTTTTTTGGGGGTGGCGGAGAAAAGGATCGAGGTTTACACAGTAAACCAGGCACATTAAAAACGGTCAAAGAAAGGGTGGTTTTTTTTTTACCTGAATTTACAAAATTTCTTAGAAAGTAAAACATTCACAACGCAATAATTTAGAATAAGGTGGATAGAAGAAAAAAAAAACAAACTTGAATGGTTATTTTTTTTTTTGTTTCACAACAGAAATATTTATATAGTAACAAATCCAAGTAAGTTTCGACGGCGAAGGATTCATTTTTGTTTTTCGAAAATTATTAAAATAAGAACGCAAACAAATATTTACAGACGAGAGAGAGAGAAAAAAAAATCATTTAAATATATATATATATAATATGTAGTAATAATAATAACTAAAAGACATCATCATTTAAACTTAAAAACTCTTCGTATATACGTATTTTTTATATATATATATATATATAATATTTTTCTGCATATTAACATTAATTAACTGTCTTATTCAATATACACAATTTTTTTCCTTTTTTTTTTTTCATCCTTTCCTCAGTTCTTCTTTACGAAACCAAAAACAAAATTAATTAAAAATTAAAACAGAAAATCCACAGTTTATCACAATCGTGTTCTCTTATTTGCGTTTCCTTCTTTTGTTTTTCATCGTTTTCCAATTGCAAAGCTACAATGATTAAAGCACATAATTTTTTGTTTTTGTTTTTTTTTTCAATCAATATTAAAAACGGCAGTGATAAACTATAATAATGATAATTGAACGCTAACTAAAATAACGAAATCATAAAACGAGAAGAATTCAATTCAATTCAACAAACAAATAGGAAAACTGATTGATTTCCTTGTTTCTTCTAAAGTATCTATGATTAATAGAGAGAAATAGAGATGTAGACAGTTAGAGAGAAAGAGAAAGAGGAGAACTTAAACAAATGAAAAATTCTTGAGCCCGGCTCGAATCGAAACAAAAATCTATATATAATATATATATATATATAAAATAAACGACACATAATGAAAATATAAGTATTATATGTATAGACTTAAATAATTAACCGTACGAATATATTATTAATATTTTTTTTTTAATATAAGTTTTAAATATATGTATATATTTTGTTGTAGATATATATATATATAAATATATAAAGTGAAGAAGAGAAGCCTGGTTGAGCTCGGCAGCGGGATCGACGACGACGACGAAGACATTTGGCGTTGCGAAAGCGATTTTTTTTTTATATAATTGATTGAACTGTTGAAAAATTTGCTGGCATCTTTTAATAATATTATTATTANTTTTTTTACAGATATCCGACCATGTAGTTACGTGAAAGTTGTCCCATGCGACGTCTGCGAGCTGCAATAAGAAAAAAAAAACAAAGAGAAAAGAAACTCTGATTAGTTTAGTGACACTCTTCGAGGTGGAAGCAGCGACAAAGCAGCGGCAGCAACGAGAAGAATAAAAAATAAATAATTGAAAAAAGGTAAGCGGCTTTTGCACCCTTGCAGCAACACCTAAAGCTTCCGAAGAAATAACAATGCAACAAAAAAATTCATAAGCTGAAATATTTCAAATACTATTCTATTTTTGTTTTTGTTTTGCCCCTATTTACACCTGTGTTTATGAGTTTCGAAGAGATTTGTTCGCGTCGGAGAAATGCTTTCTAACTATCATAAATATGGTTTCTCTAACGCGCGCTCGTTTCCTTGTTTATCCACATATTTACATTGCAATTCCATTCTGCGAAATCCCAGAAATATCGTTTTACTTAAAAATCGTAAGATTATTCTATAAATCTTCACTTCTCAACTAAATCTTTTGCAGTTGCAGTTTGCATATGTTACAATTTTCTTGACTAAATCTGAAATATTTATGAATTTAGTACAAATAGTCATATAATTGATAACATTTCTAAATGCTGAATTATTTATAAATTTTAAAAATTTAAATTATAATCTCTTAATTTAATTTGCTGAAATATTACTGAAACATTTGTAAATTTAGATAAAAAAAAAATACTAAAAAAAAAGTATGAATATTTTGTAATTGACTGAATTATTCCAAAATACTAATAATTCAATAGATTTTTTTCGGAAAATTGATCAAATTTTGAATCAATCATTAATTTCTTTTAATTATATTAAACTTAATTCAGTTTAAAAAAAAAAACTTATACTTAAATCGTAAGATTATTCTATAAATAACCATTTCTCAACTAAATCTTTGCAGTTACAATTTTCTTGACTAAATCTGAAATATTTATGAATTTAGTACAAATTGTCAAATAATTGATAACATTTCTAAATGCTGAAAAAAACGTGATTTATAAATTTTAATTATAATGAAAAATATGCTTTAAATCTCTTAATTTGCTGAAATATTACTGAAACATTTGTAAATTTAGATAAAAAAAAAATACTAAAAAAAAGTATGAATATTTTAACTGAATTATTTGAAAATTATAATAATTCAATAAATTTTTTTCGGAAAATTGATCAAATTTTGAATTAATTTATTTTGAATTTATATTGAACTTAATTCAGTTTTTTAAAAAAACATACTTAAATCGTACGATTATTCTATAAATATCCATTTCTCAACTAAACCTTTGCAGTTACAATTTTCTTGACTAAATCTGAAGATAAATAATAAAAATTTACAAAAAAACAAACAAACTTTTGAAATGGGTGAATTTTTTTTGTTAAAAAAAGTTACTGAAATATTTATGAATTTAGTACAAATAGTCACATAATTGACTTGAAAATCGAATTTTAAATGCTAATTATTACAGTTTAGTAAAAAAAATACTGAAATATTTATAAATTTTAAAAATTAAGAAATAATAATTTAAATCTCTTAATTTACTAAAAATAACTGAAACATTTGTAAATTTAGATAAAATATACTGAGAAAAATATGAAGATTTATAATTCACTGAACTATTGGAAAATTATATAATGAAAATTCACATACAAAATTGATCAAATTTTGAATCAATCGTTAATTTCTTTTAATTGTATTGAACTTAATTCAATTCTTTAAAAAAACTTATACTTAAATCGTAAGATTATTCTATAAATATCCATTTCTCAACTAAATCTTTGCAAAACAAACAAACTTTGAAAAATTTATGAATTTAGTACAAATAGTCACATAATTGAATTAAAAATCGATTTTAGTTAAGTAAAAAAAAATCTAAATAAAATTCTGAAAAAAAATACTGAAATATTTATAAATTTTAATAATTAAGAAATAATCTCTTAATTTACTGAAAATAACTGAAACATTTGTAAATTTAGATAAAATGTACTAAAAAAAAAGTATGAATATTTATAATTCACTGAACTATTGGAAAAAATATATAATGAAAATTCACATATAAATAGATTTTTTTGGAAAATTGATCAAATTTTGAATCAATTCTTTAAAAAAACGATCATTCAGATAAAGAATATAACATACACTTGTAAAGTAAATTAAAATTGATTATAAACTTAGTTTAGAAACATAAAATAATCTTTGAAATTATAAATTTAGAACGAATTCGCAGAACGGAATCAGTGCCAAAACGAGAATGTGTAACACACACATAACATTATTATAGCTGCAAGAAAAAGCATTTTTCCAAAGCGAGTGGAACCTGTTGTTGATTTATATCCATCTCCCCAATAATCATCTCTATTTTGCAAACGACATGATGATGAAATTTTTATTTTTATACCCATTCTCCTGCTGCTCCCAGTTGCAGGAGGCGGCGTTCTGTTAGTGAGTAATGCAGACAAATAGATACAGCGAGACGCGGCATGCCAATAACGTGTTTTAGTCCAAGATGCAAAAGAAAACGGAGGGTGTTAGTAAAGTAAAGCCCGTAATGGATTCCTTTCTCCCATAAATCCTACTGCTGCACCCCCACGTCTATTTCCCCAAAAAAAAAAAGCACATAAATTCAAATCGCGCACAGGATGTGCACAATAATATAATTCCATTTTCCACCCCCCCAAACACTCGTATTTATTATATATTTCTCTACGAGAATCGAGAAAAATAAATAAATAAAAGTATAATTTATGGAAGAAAAATGTAAAAAATGTAAAAGTGTGAGAGAAAAAATACGTACGTTACTGCTATAGCAGTTCACACTACGAGCTGGTCGCTCCCAGCCGAGACAGGCGACGTTCTGTGAACAGAGGAGAGACACCACATTCAATTGACACACTGGGGGGTATAACAACATTACTACTACTCCTTTTGCTGCCGTTCTCACAAAAAAAAATTATCAGCAGCGCAAGGACATTCATCTTGCAGGATGCCATTTGCAGGATTTTTACCGAAATCCTTCCGCACAATAGCATCCTGCAAACAAAACAAGTGTTAATCCAAACGAACAATACATGCCTTCGTTAGATCAAAAAAAAAACAACAGGACATTATAGAAAAAAAAACAATCAATAATATAACAATACAAACAATAGTCCTGCAATTAGTCGGGTTATAAGTAACACACATAGTTTGTTAGTTGTAGCGTTTAGTTAATACGAGTGTAAAGTTCGGATACGACAATGCAATACAAAGAGCGTACCGTTTGTGTAGCAGTTCTTTCGGTTTATTCACGTTCGGAATGTAATAAGCTTCTACTTATTTATAAGAAGACGTTTACTTTAACAATTACAAAAAAAACACGAAAAACAACGTAGAACACAAAAATATACCTAAATATATTGATTTTGGGGGGGTTTTGTTTTTGATATTTTTTTTTTTAAATAGTTATCTAAACTAGAAAATGAATTTTCAGTGAATTTCTCTGGTATCTGCGAACGAAAAAGAAACAAAACACAAGATTCGCAAATAAGTAAAATTTTTAGAAACAAAAACATACATTTTTATAATTTATAAATGTCTTCAATGCGGAACGTGATAAATGGAGACAATAAAACCCAAAAAATCTTTCTTTTCTCGTTTGTTTGAGAATTTTAAACGCTTTTTCCTCCCTCGCAATATACAAAAAAATTCTCCGTCTCGGCGCGCTTTTCGAGGAGGAAATAAAAAGAGAGACGTTAAACGATTTCCCATATTCGTGTTGCACCAAATAATGTTCGGGGGGCGCCTTTTAAATGCTCGCAGAGACAGAGTGAAAGAGAAAAAAATAAATAGAAAAAAAAGTAGAGAAAGAAAGAGCGTTTTATGTAACAGTAATAATGTTGAAAAAGTAGAGTATCCTTGGAGTGAGGGGTTAGTTATAAAAGCAATATAAAAGTTTAACATGCAAAATTGTGTGTGTGAAAGAGAGACAGAGATGTAACGTGTAGATTGGAGGATGGGGATGTTTCAGAGGAAAGCCTTTGTTCCATGCAGTTCACAAAAATTATAAAATGTAAGTATAATTAAAAAAAATAATAATGAACAAAAAAAATGTACTGTACCAAATTTCGTTAAGAACACCAGAGAATATGAATTTCATTTGTAATTATTTAAAAAAAATTGATCAATTGTAAAGTTTCTCATCTTCAATTAGTAAATTTATTAGTATCATTGATACTAGAATATCAAAACTATGAATGTGATCAAATAATAAAACTGTTGGATAAAATTTGGATTGGCAATCAACTAATTAATCACGATATTTATAAATTTTAAAAATTAAGAAATAATAATTTGAAATCTCTTAATTTACTAAAAAAATAACTGAAACATTTGTAAATT